TTCCTAAAAATAATATTAATAAAATTTCGAATCATCAAACTTTTCATCGAAAAATCAAATTTAACACATTTTGACTATTGTGAAACGATGTTAAAACTATTATAAATCTTTAATCAATTATTGTTGATAGCTGTTTGACATTTATTAATAATATTTCATTTCTAAACAAAATTTTTCATATGAACGGCAGATTATTTCTCCTTTCAACTTTGTTTTTCGAGAACAAAAAACTTGCATTAGCATTGTGAGTGAAGCTTTTACTTTGTTAATTTCAAGTTTTATAAAAAATGTATTCGAATCCATTTTTATTCATGTTTCATTTTGATATGTACTTTTTATATAGTTATACAACCGGTGACAAGAATTGATTTTACAGGCTTGTGAAATCAGTCATTTCATGCAACAATTTAATATACATTTATACCACTTGTTCATTCATTTATATTTTCTATTATCCTGTCAATCAAATAACAAACCCTTAAGATATAACACTTTGTGTGTATGTGTCTTTTTTCAAATTTTCCAGAGGCACGTTTGATAGACAAGACAGTGTAAGATCGGATTACATGTCTGACCGGGATGGCAGATATGGAATTGTTCAACAAGCTTCTCTGGAGAGTACAGACTCAAGAATTTGCTACTTGACGTCCTCGGAGGTGAGTTTCTTGAGTACTTGTTGACCTTATCAATCTGTTATATCAATATTCCACTTCAGCAATTCACTATTGCTTTACCTAACCGAACTTTGTAAGGTAAAAATATAAACGTAGATACTTGACTAATAATAGACACGATAAAATACAATAATTGTATTGAATTGAATGTTTTGTAATCAGAAAAGTTTATTCACTTATTAAAAATTCATGTAACGCAACGATACATTAGATTGATAAATATTTGCAAAAAGATAAATATATTTAAAAAAACTAAAAAAACTATAAATTACATAATTAAAATAGAGTCGAAAACAATTTCTAATTTCGAATTAGACAATACTTATTATAGAAATTTTTTGAAAATCATTCATTTCTACTTAGTTTACTTTGTATTTCATTTATATAAATGAAAGTTCAATTCATTTCTACTTAGTTTACTTTGTACTTCATTTATATAAATTTTACCTTTAGGTAATAAATGATCATATTTTCTTGGAAAATAAATATCATTTAGTCGTAAAATAAATATAATTTTACGTGCTATACCTATATGATTAGTGAAAAAAAGTCATGTATATTAAAAAAACACGTATCTATTTGTTGAACGTCGATAACCTACTGACCCTGCTTACACATATCTTACACAAGTCACCTTTCAGCCTATTTCTATGCATCATACTTGAACGTTGGTGATATTTAGTGTCGCTTCTGTTTTCTCTTTATTAACTCGTACTATAATATAACACAATATAATACTATGTAGGGAAAAGTTTTATTGATGTTGTACCTATAAAAAAAAATATTGCATATAATGCAACATCTGTTTATTCAAATATACATATATTGAAATAAACTTGCAAAACTGAACGAAAAAATTATAAAAAAAAATATTTTGTTGAAAATTATGTATGAGACAAGATGGGACAGCTTTAGTTTACATGTATCATATCTATACGCGATATCTTCGTTTTCATCTTCTTCTGTAGTATACGCTACATGTAGTGAATTATTTAATCTTATTTTATTTTCTATTCTCTATTCAAATGTGGTCTTGGGTACTCAAAAGATGTAATTGCTTTACGATAACTCATTTTCGTAATTATTTGAAATAAGGTCAATTTTACTAATTCCAAAGACCTTGAAATACGTGAAAATCATTTTAAATAACTTTCTCCTATATATGTTACTGCCGCACCGATTTTCGACTCAGTTTCTGAAATATTCATAAAAAATTCTGGCGAAATTTCTGAAAGTATGTAAAGTCCGATTTAATTGAAATTTTGAAGATAATTTCATTTTGAATAAAAACAATATTACGAATAGGGATGAATCTTCTGACTGGTCGGCCGACTGTTTTATGACATAGTCTAACTCAAACATTCATTTTAAAAAATGATCAACTTCTTCTAAAGAGAAGTTTCCGTATTACATTATAGATTATGAATCTAATCACACTACACGTCAACAGCTATTTCGAAAATTGCCGAAAACGTTCCTATCATTTTGAAATAATTCACAAAAATAAGTAATTCTTAATGAATAAGTGGTCTGTGGAATGAAACAAATTGTTATTTGAAACATGTATTATTTAATGAAGTATATTTGGGCGAATATATCGATACAAATCCAAAAGTCATTGAAATCAGTGAAATTTATCTTTTAAAACATATAAAACATTTTCTCACAAATGCCTCGGCAATATGAATAGAGGAAAAGAATGAAGTAGAATGATTTTGATAACATATTTTAAGATCGTTGATATTGATAAGATCACCCATACTCCAAATAATAGTTCATTTTTTTGTATAATTGTTTTCATAGTTTTCCGCGTTGATTCTTGATTGACATCGACTATATGTTTTTGTTTTCCTTTTGTCCGAGTTATTTTATCTAAAAACTAGAAGTTTATGAAAGTTCACCTTATCCCAAGTGTTACATCAATGATAATATTTTTATTTATTTGTAAATATTACGAGTAGATAAATAAGTAACCCAAGAAATGGTCACAATATTCAATAAAATTGAGAATTGTTTCTTATTTGTTAATGTTTAAACTGTAATAGAATAAAATTATAATCGTAAGAATGAATACTCTGACTAGCAAACAGATAAAAACGCAATAAATTGACTATAGCTGACTAGGTAATGTATGATATGATGCAGAATTCAAGAATTTCTCTTGTTTGAAAGCACAACAATTAGCAAAAAATAAATTGTCCTACGACCCATCTTGCCTTCTTTCATGTATACTTTAATAAGATAAAAAAAAAAATATTCTCAAAGAGGGATGAATTTAGTATTCTGTTGAACATCTATTTGAGTTGTATATGTGTGCATGATATTACAATATGTAATTTGTTGTGAAGACATTTTGTGTTTACAGATGAACATATGTAAATGTAAATGATTATATAGAGGATTTCTTCCTTTTATTGTACAATCATCCTGAATATACGCCTACAAAAGTATTGACTCATATAGTTAATATATTTCTCTACATACACATACGTAAATATACGATGAGTCACATAACGTGGCGATTTCAAATAACTCGACTACTTACTGTACGAAAAATTTCCAAACAAAGGTTGCATGGTTCTCCAAAGGATATGCAGTATTGTAATCGCTTCATTTTTAATACTTCGCATTTTTATCGAGATACGAAAGTTGTCTTCATATTATTTTACTACGCCTAATATTTCTTTTTAAATTCGAATAAAGCATCTGTGCAAAAGAGTATTAAAGTCTAGATTAATAACTATTGAAATATTATGTTACAATTAATGCATTTATTTAATCGTATTGTAGATGAACAATGAACACTTTTTCAAATGTTGTAATTATTACGACGTGCGTATCAGCAATACGTTTTCACATATCTATCGACTGTTGTTGATGGCTCGCGGTAAACTTCATTTTTTAATACTGCCCAAAAGAAACAAACGAACAAGTAGAATATAATGTTTCGTTTGGTTTTTGTCTTGATATGATATTTTGGTTTTTGCAATATTTTCATCGTACGCATCGCACAAACGATTATTATATTGTATTTTTTGTATTAATCATAACAATAAACACAGTTTCTACAATTTTATTTTTACTTTAAATAACTGAACTCAGATACCGAAATATCTCATGTTAATGATGTTGTCATAGTGTAACAAGAATTGTGTTATAAATATAACCTGTCATCATAAATGTAGTTGTATTACAGTTACATTAACTAATCGTATTTCCTAACACAAAATAATTAATTTGAGAATATCTCGAGAATATGAACGATTTTGTATAATACTTCTTTTAATACTTCTTTTACGCAAAATTCAATGTTTCATTTGATTCCAAGAAAAAATATTAGGCATCACATTTAAAAAATTGAAGGCGACATTCATATCTCGATAAAAAAGTAACGTAATGACAAAAACGATTAAAGTACTTACTCTATACCTGCTGGAAAATCATGTAACTTTTGTTTGAAACATTTTTTCGTATAGTGAGTAATTTACGAATTAGGTGAAGCCATATTGCGAGATTCAGTCTGTATATGTAACAGAAATTGATATTAAATTGAAAAATTTGAAAAAGTGAACAAATAGAAAGGAAAGACGAAAGAAATGAACAAATTATTATGCAAATAATTTTTCGAATTTGTAACAATAATCAACACAAATATACATTCCATGTTATTTCGGGTTCGTAACTTTTGCAATCGCTAAATCCTTATTTTCTGAGCTTTTATCGCAGGATACTGTAAATACGTACATATACATACATACATACATACATACATATATATTACTAAAGATTGATAATGCAAATCTCTCGAGATAAATTCTTTCTTTAATAACACAATTACAATTAATATATCAATTGACTATGATACTGGTATACTGGTATTTGACATTTTTTTGTTTTGTAAGATACGTAAGAGAGAAAGCATCTTCCACTTTCGGGAAGTACTTTTTTTTCAGCTAAAAGTCCTAGAAGGTAGAGAGGATGCTGAAAGAGCAGTAAACAATGATAATGGCGATAATAGCAGCAATATCAGCAACAATTGCAACAGTAGAAATATCAGCAATAGTGGCAATCAGTACCGATATTTACAACTTATTCTTCTCTATCGCTTCTCCACTGCCCTCCCCAACCGTTTTTTCTGCTGTCATCTATTTTCTTATTCCAATTCTCGATACTTCCGACCTCTTCCATTGCCTCGCCAACCTTTCCATTCCCCTACTCTTCTTATTACCCCTACTACCCCAAGTAACCGACTACCCTGACTACCCCGACTACCCCGACTACCCCGACTACCCCGACTACCCCGACTACCCCGACTACCCCGACCCCCATTCGGCTGCACAGAACGAGTGAGCGAGCGAGGTATTGATTCCCCTCGCGGTAGCAGCTCTACTTCTCTGTTCTCCAGCGCCCCAGTCGGAAGCAACTCACGTTCGTGGCTGCGGCCCACTAATTCACTGCTTGTTCGCGTAAAGTCAAGAAGCGAGCTCGATCATTATCGAGTTCAGCGAATAAGCTCTGAGAAATTAGAATCGATTTCTCTAGTCATAAAAGTGGTCATTTCGTTTATCCGCTAGCAATTAGCGGTTCTCCAGAATTTTGGAAACCAATACCGTCTGGAATCTCTCCAGCGGAATATCACGCGTATTTCACAATGAATGGAGATACTAGTGACACATCTGAAGATTGGCTGTACATGCAACGTTCGGTTATCATACACTGTTGAAAAAGAAACGTTACGGTTATTTGCACAAGATTTTGATTCTGTAGTGAATAAGTAAAATCTTATCAGAAAAGTATACGAATCTGCAGTCTCCTGCGTAGCACCTACACAGTTATACAACTACATCGAACAGCCTCACTAGAAAAACGGACAAGAATATTAATATTTCCTAGAAAAGTTTTTCTTTTGGAAGAATTACATTTATAATATTTTTTCAACACGTGCAGGTTCACGTGGTATGGTATTGACAAAGAATAACTACGCATCAAGTTCTTCAACTAGTTTTAGAAAATATTTACGTGAACATTCGAATGATTAAGTACCTACTTGACATATTTATTATTTTCACTAATCTGCTCGATTTCGCTTAGCAACGATTTCCTAAAATATTTAGATTTATAAATTAGAGAAACTAGGAAGTAATGAAATAATAAACCCATTTCAGTAGATGTTGTTTTGAAGTACAAAAGAAGAAAAGAAGAAGAGGAAAAGAGGAGAAGAGGGAAGAAGAAGTGGAGAGGAGGAGACGAGAAAGAGGTAAACGTGAATTAGATATATGGAAAAGTATAAAAAATGTATGTGGAATACACGAAGAGGGAAAATAGGAGGATAAAGGACGTGTATACGGATAAAGAGAGAAAGGAAGAATAATTTTAGAAAAGAATAAAGATATTTCAGTTGGGCAGTTAAATGAATAGATTATAAAGGAAGGGTGGAAGGCAAGATACGAGATTTGGTGTTCGAATAGAATATGTATAATACATATATAACGGTATAGAGAACATGATATTGAGAAATGTAACATATTTTTATACAGAGAGTTCATTTCTATACGTATATTGCAAAAGTATTCTATATATCTACTTTTGAAACCTATCCACTTACTAAGAAAGAGTAACATTTTTGGAATAATCATTTCGATTTGTTGATCAATCCCGAGATTTGATTATCACTATCAAAAGATCGATGAAAGTATTAAGAGAAAGAAAAGTTTTATTCAAAAGAGAGAGGAAGAGAGAGGAGAAAAGAGAGAAAGAGAGTGGAAGAGAGAGGGAGAAAAAGGGAGAAAATTTTCTTCCGCACGTATTTTGAAGGAGGAAAATCAAATTGAAGGATAAAATCGTCCTTCTTGAGAGATATGCTTATAAACAATATGTACAGTACAAGATCACAATATATTCGCAAAATTGTCGATTTTCTAAAACAGATTCATTCTGGCTTTACAAAACAGAAAATCACATAAAAGGAATCTTAGTATTAATCTGTATAGTGCAAAAACAGTTTGCCTTAAATAGAGATTACAAATGTACAAATAATTGGAAGATTTTCATGTTACAACGGTAATATTATTATAATATTTGCTCCTATGTAACGAAAAAAAAAAACTCCTACGTAGCAAGAAGTTTGCTTCTATTGTAGCAAATATTGAAAAAAAAAAGATATATCAAATATATTATTATAACGTGTAAAATATTGAAATCGATAAAGGAATTTGTCTTTTATTTTTGTCATTTCTCTTGTTTTTTCTCTACATACATACATACATACATGGCTACGCGGCTCTTATGGACTCGTGGACTACAGAGTAAAAAGCTCTTGGTCAGAGCGATAATCTAATGACCATAGAAAATGCACAATGCACGACGACTGTGCCTGTTTTATTTCTTATGCACGTTCATAATTAACATTTTACATCTATTCAGGAAGCTGTTCGAGCCATACGCTGTCACTTTTACTAAGAAGATTGTTCAAATTTTCGACCGACGGGAAGAATTTATGCCTTAAACATTTACTTTAAGCTGGTTGAGACAACCAGTTTCTGTAATGGTTAATGCAATGTTTGCCAACTTAATTACATTCTTTCATGTTTTCCATCATAAGAGGGAAACACGATATGAAATGTTATAGCGCAAGATGCTTTTAGACACGTTCAAATTTGAATCAAATTAATGAAGAAATTGAACGAATCTTCCAAATACAAAGTTGAATCGACAGATCGTCGATTCCTCCGCCGTCCAAACGACAATAAAGGCATTGATGGAAAAAAATATGAAATGAAGGTCAAAGTGACTACGATGATTTTGATGAATTGAAATTAGAATTACAAGATTACTCTTACCGATTAACTGTTTAGAAAAAGTTAATTCGTTTTCTCTCGTTGACTCTTCCATCTAAACAAAGATCTTTTTATTTGATTCAGCAAAAGCATCAGCATAACGAAGTATATACGATAATGGTAGAACCGAAATGGTCAATCAAATGCATGAATAGTACGTTGAATCTGTTGAATCCGAGTAGTAGCTACACAGATTTGAAAACACTTCATAAGAAACATTGCAAAAAATATTTTTGCCTTTGCAAAAGGCATACCATCAGTGTAATATGTATCAATGAAACGAGGAAATTGTATTGGTTTAATTGCAAGAACGTTCGTGAAAAGGTCAACTTTGGTCTCGGTGACGGTTACTACTACAAGTTGCTCAGGATTATTAACAGTGCTTTGAACACTTGGGCGCAGCATTACATCGACGGTCTCAGCATTGCCCGTAAAGAGATCATGTTCAAGATAAACGGTACCGCCAAGAAAAATATGAAGCTTCTGAAGGAAGGTTGTTACTGTCATTACCATCCGCACATGACAGCGGATGCTTGCAACGCCGACTTTCTAAAAAAAGTCGTAAGTTTTTGGGCTGGCGAAGGCCTTAGGGGAATACGCGAAAAGCTTCGCGGTATGACAAATTATGCTAAAAAGGTAGAGACACGACAGTTTCCGCGTTATTATTCTTTGCAGTTATACTTTTGTTTTCGTTAGCACCTATTATTATTATTATTATTATTATTATTATTGTTATTATTATTATTATTATTATTATTATTATTATTATTATTATTATTATTATTATTGTAATAGCCATTACCGTTACCGTTACCGTTAACGTTACTGTTACCGTTACTATTACTGTCACTATTACTGTTACCGCATTAGCATTACTGTTATCATTATCGTTACTGTTACTGTTGCTGTTACTATTACCATTATTGTTGTTGTTACCTTTACATCGTTATCGTTACCAAAATCAATATCAGTATTTATACCAATATCTTTTCTACAAAGTTATATGATGATTTTTTTATAGTTAATCCAATTGATATGTAAAATAATAGAATTTGTAAGTAAGTATTTTATAAGTACCAAACATCTCCGTTAATATTCATGGGTGGTGTGTCATTTTTATTCATCACTATAATCAGTATACATATATTGTTACTATAAATGAAAGAAGCATTAGCCCGTCACATATCCTCTTGTTTTTTTTCTTTTTCATTTTCTTCTATGTACATACGGATTCTGATTATTTTGTTGTAATTTGAGACATAAATACCATTTATACACAAATGTACACAAATGTAACACGAATATACACCAAGTAGTTTTTATTTTAGATTGCATTTACGATCGTAGTAAACGTTACATCTCTAAATACACATCACTTGTAAAATATCGACTTTTGCATTTGAGATTAAAAATAATGTGTTTACGTATTCTCTTGTCATTCCTGTTCATTGAAAATTCCTTGGAGAATAGACGAATCGAAAGGTAAAGTTAATAAATGTTGTAGATGTCAGACGATGATAAAATGTCGCTAACTACTGCTGTTAGCGACGATGACGATGGTGAAAGTGTCATAAATTCACCCTATCGAGGAAAACAGACTGGTACCGCTGCGGCTTCGTTCAATTGTACGGGAGCAGTTCGAAAGGCTGGGTAAGTGAACAACAAATAATTATTATAGAATTTCGGGAATGAGAGATTGTTGAACTAAAGTAGGCATGCAAATTTACATTAAGTTTTCTAACATAAATTTCGTCGCAGATTTTTAAGTGTGAAAAAATGGCTATTACGAAAAAAGCATCAGATCGAGCTCGCGAGAAAGAGAGGTTGGAAAGGTTACTGGGTTTGCTTAAAAGGGACTACCCTTCTCTTTTATCCTTGCGATTCACAAGAAAGTAGAGCCATGGAGGCAGCGCCAAAACATTTGATTATAGTTGATGGTGCGATAATGCAACCAATTCCAGAACATCCAAAACGAGATTACATATTTTGTTTAAGCACCGCATTCGGTGATGCTTATTTATTTCAGGTAAATGTGTGTTTCGAAATAATGATACGATTACGAATCATTGTGCGTTATATACTTTCCTGTTGACTGTTTCATTATCAATCATGAATCCGTGGTCCTTTTTTATTCTTACATCAGGCTCCGTGTCAAGTGGAACTCGAAAACTGGGTGAACAGCATACATTCCGCTTGTGCCGCTGCATTTGCACGTCATCGTGGTAAAACCGGAACCCTTCATTTATTGCAGGAAGAAATATTTCGTTTGGAGAAGGCGATAGAGTCGGCAAGTGAACCGAGTATACATATGTATTAGCTTTCAGCGATAGAAAGGAAAAATCGTTTAATATCTCTCTCGTCTTTTTTTTTTAGGACCACAAACTGAAACACATGGCGGACCTTCAACAATCTGTTGTGTCTGACGTGGAAACAAGACAGCAAATTAACAATCAGATTATTCAATGGGAGGAAAATTTAGAGCGACTTCATTGCGAACAATTCCGACTGAGATGCTATATGGCAAGTTTGCAAAGCGGTGAATTACCAAACCCAAAGGTAACTATATACTTTCATCACACTTTCACTTAAACATTGTATATATTTGATAAATATAACAGTTACAAAGTTACTAACAAAACGAAATTTTCGTCGATGGTATGGGCGACTTACTACGAGTAATCTGTAAAATATCACATTTGTATAAAACATCCTTATAATGCACGTTACTTTAACGCTTACGTGCATAATTTATCCACGTTATAGAACATAATAGAGAATCGGAAGCTCCTATCGACCATCGTGAACCGTAAATAGAATCTTGTAGAACTTCGACGAGCCAGTTTCCGCTACATTAGTAGGGGCAGCTGATAATCCTGATACAAGAATCATCTCGATTCAAATTTTTTTATTTTTTCCGTAGAGTTTATTGACGCACGTATCTCGTGCTACGAAGCAGACATTAAACAAATTGGGAGTCTTCACCGTATCGTCATTTCATGCTTTTATATGTGCACGAAGTCCTTCGTTGCTGAATAATCTACTAGCAGGTCGAGGAGCTACCAAGAGAAGACCACCTTTACTCTCGAGATCTAATAGTGGATCAAGTAGAAGATCCCTTCAAATATCGTCTAGAGATGACGAGAAAACCGTGAAGGTGTACGTACCGGAGAATCAGGTAAGCGAGTCTAATTGTACGTACGTATCTATTTATAAAAGAAAGAAAAAGATGCCTAATTACTAGAAGATGCGAATATTAATAGCAATTTGATTATCCAAGAAAATTTATGTGTATGTATTTATCTTTCTTCCTCTTTATCCTTGTCTGTTTTCTTCTTGAAAACTTGACGTTACCTAACATTATGTATATCTATACATAATATATATTCTTTGTAAAAATTTTCGAAAATTGGAAAAATAGAAAAGAATATAATATCGCAATGGTAACTTTATACACTGACGCCATAAATATCAGATTCTACGTGTTTATTTTTAGCTGGTATCGGTATTTGTGCGTGATGCTATGACAGTAGAAGAATTCCTTGCAAGTGCTTGTAACAGGAAAAATCTTAATCCGATGGAACATTTCGTTCGCGTAAAAAAACGACGCGACATGGAGGATCATAATTATTTCGTGCCACATAGAACGGATATGATAGAAACTTATGTAAGTATCAGTGTCATGTTATATGTTACAAAGGAAACTATTCGTTTATTTATATTACTTTTTTAAAAATCTATTTAAACTCGTGGTTTAGTAATTCTATATAGATATACACTTCTGAAATGACGTTAAAAACATGTCAGTAGTAGAATAATTGTATAGCGAGATGTACTTTACGTCTATATTATAGTATAACTTGTTGTTGATTAAAAGTATAATTATCTGATATTGAATCTCTTCAATACTATCTCATATAAATTTTCATTTTTATTCCTGGCTGAAACTATCACTATTATCAGGAACAAAAGAGATGTAATGAGCTGTAATCATGATGAATAGCTTGTTGCAAATAAAGAATAACAAAATAATTATATATTTCAGTTGCACACTCATGAAATTGTTGAAGTTTGCGCAAAAATCTTATATCAAGTAGAACTACAGAGAAACACCCTTGAACAAATGTGGGGCTTTTCGGTGGAAGCAGAATTAATTGAGAATTCTGATCGACAGGATGAATTATGTTGTTATGTTAGCAGGGTTGAAGATAAAAGCGTAGCAATGCAAAATGGTAAGATAATTAGCATGCATTTTTCAACTACACATATAAATGAAGCACAAACGTATACATCGTACAGTAATCGTAATCATAAGTTATGTCATAAGTTATAATTGTGTGATAGTAAACACATTGTACAAATTAAATCAATCATCTATTTATTTTTATTCATTTAATATAATGATCACCTATACTTGCAAACTCAAATTTAATATATTATTCTTCAGAGAAAAATTTAATAAAAATGCATGTTCACATAAAACTGCTTGATGTAATATAAATAGGAAATCAGTCAGGCAAGCTCAAGATCCTCTTCCCATCCCTCTTTGATCTAATTTAAGAATGAAGGTGAGATACATGTGGAAACACAAAGTCGGGTGACCTTAATCAGATTTTTTTTTGTCTACATCTACAGAATATTTTGTAGAGAATGACATTGAAGGGCATTGATTTTTTTCTATTAACTGAGCAAATGCACGCTCACATTTTTCAACGAAGTGAGACACGCATAATGCAGATACACGCTATATGTCATACATATAAATAATCATGTTTTAAATACTACACATTAATGTAATTTATTACATATTAAACAATACACATTAAAGTAGTAATGTATTACATTTTAATTTCTCGTGTATTTTTCGAATATTATGATAATATTCTTTCTTCCTTTTCATCTTATTTCTCCAAATCAATGCAAGTACTTATTTAATATTTTTCAGGAATCATTAAAGGAGACGAGATTATGGTAATTAACGGTGCAATAGTGAGCGATTTAGACATGATGTACTTGGAAAGTGTATTGCAAGAAGAAGTTGGTCTATGTATGATGATGAGATCTTCGCGAACTGAACCTCCAGATCTCACGGGCATAATGAGAGTCACTGATGACATAATCGAAAGTTTGGTTTGCCCGCCACCACCTTCTGAACCACCAGTTATTAGCGAAGAAATGATATCCGGCTTAATTGTTCCAGCTCCTGGATGGAGTAAGAATTTTTATTTGCTCGACTGACTTTTTTATTTTTTGATCAATAACTATTCCATGTTTTCTTATCTTGTGTTTTTTATTTTCTCTATGTCTGCTTGTATAACATCCATTTTCCGTTCCCTAAAGATCTTATTATAAGATATTGTTTTATTACTAGTATTTTATTCTTATTTTTATTTGTAGTAGTAGCAGTAGTAATAGCAATAGCAATAGTAGTGGTAATAACTAGTAACAGCTAGTAACAATAAAGATAATGATAATAATGATTTCAAATAAATTTTTAATTAATTAATTTTATTTATAACAAAAAATTATAAAATTTTAGTTATATACTACAAAATTATAGAATTATTGTTACAGAGTATAGAGTGTTTATCTATTCTATTCAGTAAAATGAAATTAAAAATATTAATATTATCAGTATATATGTATATCTGTGTGTATATCAATGTATATATGTCGGTGAATATAGGCAAAGAAAGTATCGCGCAGGAGTGTACGTCAGCATCTCACATGGAAAATGGCAAACAAACATCTCGCACAAATTCATTCGAAATAGAAAATTTATTAAAAACCGCTGAACAAGTAACGGGAATCTGTCGGTCACCTGGTGAAACAAGAAAATCTAGTCCCACTGGAAGCGTTGTTAGCTCTCATTCTCAAGCTATGACACCAAGTCGGCAATTAACCGATGCTGAGAAATTAAAGAAAGTTATTCTAGAATTAATCGAAACTGAGCGTACTTATGTAAAGGTATGTTTGATTACAGGTTTTTTTATAATTTTATTAGTATAACTTTGTTTTGAATTTCGAATTTTTGTATCTTAATATTGTTACCGTCTTAATGGAATAGAAAGATGCAATGTTTTAAAAAGATATTTTAATATAAAATCGTGCATATCTATAAAAATTTTTTCAAATATGAAATTTTATCAAATATGAAATATCTACTTTGCAAAATATTATTGAGACGAAAATGATGTAAAAAAGAAGAATACTGTAAGATTCATATCGAACTTCAAACATGTTAAATCTTATGTGCCTAAAATATATATAATATGTGCTATTCTGTAAAATACTTTTATAACTGAAATATTACGTATATATATGTAAATGAAATGCTTTTTCAGAATTTAAATAATTTACTGGAGAACTATTTAGAACCCCTTAAACGTGAAACTTTCCTATCGAATGCAGAGATAAATGCATTGTTTGGGAACATACAAGAGATTGTTACATTTCAACGACAATTTCTACAAAATCTTGATCATGCGATCGAGATGGAAACTGATTTCAATAATTTTGACCATCCTAGTCAATTTAAGGTATGTAGTATTATGATTTTGTAATAAGAAAAATATGCCTTTTTTATGCAATTATTTTATCAAACATTTGTATGTACGATTATGTGTATATATATATATATATATATATATATATATATATATATATATATATATACGTACACAGATGTACAAGGTGGTCCATTTAAGTAAAATCGTCTAAATATCTTTCCGAATTACGATAATGCAAAATATATTTTTTATACAATGTGAATAGTATTAAAGGACCAATATCTGGCAAAAATACTTTTCCCAAGGCCATTTTTTTCAAAGTTTTCAAAGTCATCCATGTTTTCTTTATTACATCAGTTAGTCAGAAAGTACGCATTCTAACAACGTGACATTGAAATAACTTGGAAATGATCTCGATTTCCAAAATTTTACGTAAAATTTATGTTACGATTTATCGAAATCGCAGGTTTTAGTTAAGACTCCATGGTTTCAACTACATAACAATTTTAAAACTTCAAATTATCAGAAATTATTAGTATTGCTATACTAAACATATTTATTTACATTCAGTTTCTAATTGTCGCGAAACAGACAAAGTCTGTGATTTCGCAGATATGAATTTCACGTAAAACTTTAATTTTTAGAAATCGAGGTCATTTCTGAATATATTTTTCAATTCGCTACACGGTGCAATAAAAAAATATATATAGTATATTCGTTTAAATCTTACGTATGATTATTTCTGTAAGTATCAGAAGTATGAAAAAATATTTCAGATAAAACATTTTTTTTATTATATGATATCGTAGGAGACACGTTATAAATAATGTAATAATCGTTTGATCTTAGAATAATATTACTTAGATTCCTGTGAAGGGCTTAAATTTTTAAATGAGATCCTACGTTTTTTATTCTGCATATTTCTATAGCTGTTATAGAAACGTATTCAAAATATTACCTACACTTTTATTTTTCGTAGATTTTCGTTGAATTATTAATTTTGAAAATTTCCGTGCTGTCGGCATTAGCTTTATTCAATGTACACAAGAAAGTCATATGATATTTAGTCATAACAGTGAAACGCTGGTTAAACGAATGTTTTCAAAATAAATGGATCGATTACCCAATATCATTGCTATCTAGATCAAATTCACTGTTCAATTTCTTTAGTTTATCGCATTCTAGTTGGACTAACTAGTGTGTATGCAAATATAACAACTGAAAGGCTAAAAAGATAGAAAAGAAATTCCAACTTTGATTACAAAAATGTATTCCTAATAATGGGGGACATGTTGAAAAATACTTGTTTTATGTTACACTATTTTAAAATATATATGCAAAATCGGCTCTTTAGAGCCATCATAATGTACAAAGATCAGCCGAACGACATGTTTGAGGTGTAAAATAGGTAATAATATAGGCCGACACGGCGGCATAAACATTTTCAAAGTTTTCAATAGAAGTTTATGAAAAATTTGTAAGTGTACGTAGTGTTTTAAACACGGCTCGATATATAATATTTTTATAAGTAATATCGAGACATATTAATAAAAATTCTATTTAAAAATTTAAACGTGATTTTTACAGTATACTCCGATGTTATCTTAAGGTCAAACAATTATTATTATAATGTGCTTCCTTCGATATCGTATAACTTTCATTTAATACATTTTTTCATGATGGTCGTACGATACGATTTTACTTAAAACGGACATACTGTATAATTATAGCAAAAACAATAAACATCCATGACCTTGAAAATTCTCCAAAAAATGACTTTAAAGAAAAACTATTTGGTAATTGTGCATAGAAGAGTACGTCTCATTGATTTTGATGAAATTTAAATATATTGTCAGGATAAAAAATTGAAACTATTTTTTTCTATATACAATTATTCCAGAAAGTTTTTGTGTGCACAATAAAAAATTATCGACATTTTAAACTCCTATTAATTCTATGAAAATAAAAAATCGTACAATTTTAAAGTATCATTATAAAGAGAAAATTCCAATCTTTCTCAAGAATATAATGAATTTAGATAGAAATGTCCATATAAACGTGGAATTTGTGAAATTTTTGAAAAAATGTTTTTTCCTTTAATTTCTTTCAAAATGACGTAAAAACATCTTCAGGAAAACGAATGCAGCATTGCGAAAGCAGAAACTTCATGCTTTAAAATAAGTATCAAATCAATAGGCAATAGCAATTTAAAATAATTGATAATTAAAATAGTTTATAATTTTCCCGGTCGGCTTAGTATTTTCACATTCAATAAAAAATTATAGCAGTTTTTTACGAATGTCTCGTAAAGAAGAGAATATTTATAAAGTTCAAAATCTTCATCCAGACAACATATTTAAATTTTATCAAAATTAAATTTTATTTATTCAACTTTTACATACAGTCACCTTGGAAAGATATCTAAGTGGTCTTACTTAAATAATACTTAAGTTATGCGTACAAATACTTAATAATGGAAGTATTAATTATACAAGTGTTATATTCGTATTGTACAACGTGGATAATTTTTCTTTTCAAAGGGTGTCCTGTTTTCCATTGGAAGTGCCTTCTTATATTACGTAAATCATTTCAAGTTGTACAGTTCGTTTTGTGCTAGCCACTCAAAGGCGCAAAAAGTTTTACATCCAAGTAAGTGAAATTTCGAACGTTTTATTTAAAAAAATCTACCTATGCTTTATTAAGAATTGATTTAAAATATACTTTTCTTTATTTTCTTTCATTAGATGAAGGAAACCAAGCTTTACAAGAGTTCCTGCAAGCGCGTAATCCAAGACAGCAACACTCGTCGACTTTGGAATCATATTTAATAAAACCTATTCAACGAATATTGAAATATCCATTGTTGTTACAACAACTTCGAAACCTCACTGACGAACGAAGTGAAGAACACCAGCATTTGATTGGTAAATCAAAGAAAATCATTATATATGTTTATCTTTACATAAATACATATACATAATCATATTAAATTAATATCATCTGTTTATTACAATTACAGAAGCTTTAAAAGGTATGGAGAAAGTAGCAGAACACATAAACGAAATGCAAAGAATTCATGAAGAATACGGAGCTATTTTCGATCACTTATTCAGGCAACATCAAAAATCTTGTAAACAAGTATGTAAATTAAGATAAATATTTATAATATATTTATTTTCTGATATTACATTTAATATTTTGCATTTTATACGTATCTCATAACGATGACATTTTACCAGCCGATCGACTTAAGCCCGGGAGATCTTTTATATTATGGAGGAGTCGAATGGCTCAACATTTCCGACTTCCTTGGTAAAATCAAGAAAGGCTTGGAATTACATGCAATGTGTTTTGTCTTTAAATCAGCTGTTGTATTCTTATGTAAGGAAAGATTGAGACAAAAGAAGAAGCTTATGGTAAATTTTTTGGTTTCGTTTTCATCTTACAAAAAAGATATAAAAATTTATTACAGTTAAATATGTATATATGCATGTACATATATTTTACATGCACAGACACATAATAAGTTTATATTATATTATATTTATAAGTTTATATTTATATTTAATAAGTTTATATTATATTTTGATTAGGGGGTGTCCACCAAAGTAAATTCCAGCGAAGTAGAAATAATTCGCTATCAAGTATTGATTCCTGTAACGGAAGTACAAGTTAGAGCTAGTTCCGCCAAAGATATGGAATCTCATTTCCTGTGGGAATTGATTCACTTAAGAAGTCAATTACAGAGAAGATCGGAAAAAGTATACGTCCTTTCTAACAGGTATCGTCTAACGATAGTTCTTTTTGAATTAAAAGTTTTAAAACATACACGCTTTGTCTTGAACCACCGCATCATCAGACGAATTTACCTGCATTAATTTGTCGCTACACATCATTGTCAGGTATATTTTATATATGTATGTATATATAAAAGTATGACATATACTTTTCACTGTATATAACGTGTAATATATTGTATGTTACACTACCTAGAAAACATTTTTACATACAGTAGAGCTTTACCATGTATGAACCCTCATTATCCGAATATCTATTCTAATATCCAAAAGTTCTCTCGTCCGAATATTCCGAATATTTTTCTTATCCAAATAGACCTCAATAATCATGTGTCTGACATGTCTTTTTTATAGAACTTTAGAACTTTAGAATATAATTATAGAACTTTATTTTAAAATATGAGATACAATTTTAGTAAAAAGATAATGCTAATGAACATGCTAGAACATGTAAGAGGTTATTATTAATTCCTGAATTAGTCAAGATTTCATTTGTGATTATGAAGATGTAGATATAATTTTTCCATAAAATGAAGTAGCAATTGAAAATGATGAAAATGTATCTTCTTGGAATGTGCTAAAACATTCAGATTTATTCAAAAAATAATTTCGACGATTCGAAGCACAAAAGAAATATTTATATTATACAAAAAAAATTGTGCAGACAAAAAAATTATAGTATTCTTAAATATTGGAAACTGATTCCTAATCTCGCTCAATATTATCCGAAAGTTAGCCAGCCAGTTTTGTCTCCCTCTTAGTTCGGATATGAGAAGCTCTATCTATAACAAACAAATATATTCTATTTGTTTCTTTTGATATTATGTCATGTTTAATGACAAATAACAATGACATTTACATATATACATTATGGTATGTATGTATGTATATGTATACATATGTATTTATATTTGTATTTATATTAATATAATAGTTACATACATTTCTATGAAAAGTATACTAGATGAATTTACTAGATGAACCAATAACTTCCTTTGAAATGGAAAAATATGAAGTAGCAAACAGTTTATAACGATTTCTAGAGCGATTAGGAACGAAATAATGTGTAACGCGTGTAAAATTTATATATTACGTTTATGTATTTCTTCAGCACAACAGAATTCAGAAATGCATTTTTGAGGACGATACGTCAAATTATTCGGGAATCGGTTCGAAATATGAATATACCATCAACGAAACAGAACTTGAGTCAATCATCGATTACTATTTCACCACGAATGTCGACCGGACATGTTGAAAAATTTGAGAAGCAGTCAGCAAACCAAGTACAAAACGGCAGTAATAGTAGCACCACAACTACCGGTACGCTATCAAAAAAAACGGCTAAGCCACAATTGTTGCCAACTTCCCATAACATAAAGCGAAAATATAGTCAATCGAAACAAGCAACGGAGCACGAAAGCTCCGAAGATAAAGATACCGAGGAGCCAGCAAGTGTAATTAATCAGCAACAGACATTTCGCTCCCGAAGCAAAACTATAAGCGATACATCCGGTAAGATTGTTATACCATTGTTTTATCATATCAATATACGAACTTTGTTTTAGACACTTCTATTCAATTATATAAAGTATTTAAATATTTAAAAGAAAGAAAAAAGATAAACAAATTTCTTAATTTTTGTAATTTTTTAATTCTTAACGTTTGTTCAACAATTGATTAATTGATTAATCTCTCTCTTATATTCTAAGAGATATTATTTTAAATGAATAGGAGAGATAAAAGTCGAAATGGATTCAGGAACAAAATCCGAAGGAGAAGAAGATTCCCAAGCTTTTTTAGGTGAGAAGAAGGCAAATTTGGGCCGTACACCGAATCATTTGACTTTGAGCACCACTTCAACCATTTCAGCAGGAAGTACAGGTAGTCAGGCGAGACTGATCCAGTCTTCTCATCAACCGGAAAATTATCAGCCAATCGCAGTCAAGGAACTTGGTAAGAAGTTCAATATTATCTCGAATAAGAATTCTTATTAATCTTAAGCGAAACTTTTACATTATTATATATGGTTACATTATATGATTTATTGCATTATATATTTATATGTATATGTACTATTTTATAGTAAATATGCATTTTAATGATTTTTCCGAATTTTGCATATTGATATAATTTTTCTCTTAAACGCTTTATTATGTCACTAAAATGGCGAATCGGGAAAGATTGCAAAAATAATGTATTTTTATTATTTTTTAAACTGTAAAATACAATAAGTTCTTATAACTTTGAGAGAAGACATTGGTCTCCGACTGGGATAGTTCTTATAGGTAGAGTAATCTTAGTAAACGGATTGCCTAGTGCCTGACAAATAAAATGAAAACTAAAAAATTTGTTTTTGGGAAAGTTAAATCTAGAAGCGTGGGCAGGAGAGAGACTTATTTTCAATCTTCACCTCATAAAACATAATTAAACCTATCCTAGTTCTGGATAAAATATTAAAGTAGGATAGATTAACTTACATTTTATGGAATGGGAATGTCTTTAGATTTTTAACTTTCCCGAAAGCAATATTTATGCATAACTCTTTAAGGCATAATTATGTTGACATAATTATTTTGAGGCATAAGTTATGCAACTTATGTGTAAACGGTATATTTATATATCAACTGAAAAGAATATTATGTTTTCATTTATTTTTACTTAAGAAAAAAGAAATATTTGATTAGATGCTGAATCGTATTTTAAGCTTAGACCTTGATAAGCAGTTGTTTGACAGGCAATTGCTCTAATCACTGAACTATTCTATGCGTTAACATATTATATTTTCCGTTTTTTATATTAAATGATAAAAATACATTATTAACTTCTTTCGACTGATTTTTTCTTCTAGTAAAATAAAAAAAACGTTTAAGCATTTAAAAATTATATCAAAATAGTATAATGTACTTTAGTACATATATGTACAAAATGTATATTTACCTAGTTTATTTATTACATTGTTTTATATTTGCATTGCATATTATCTGTTGAAGGTTCACCAATTTGGAAACCACGAGAATTACCTTCGCTAGGAGAATCTACGACGTTACCACGTAAGGGTAAGTCGGCCAGTGAGTTTGGGGATATAAACTCATCTCATAGCGCCTCCCGAAAGTCTCTAATAGAAATCAATAATTGTGCTCAACAATCTAATTGTAATAACCATATTTAAATTAAATAGATGTTAACTGATTGATGAACTATCGAGTTAAGTTTAAAAACCGTGCAACAAAATAAACCAAACAACTATTCAATTAACGCGTAAACAGTAAAAATTAGTATTCGCTTGCCGCCCACGCGGAATGCTTTAACGCTAAACGTTACCCTCCTTGCACATCTCCTTCTCGTTTCGTCTTCCAAACGTACTATGCGTTATTAAACGTCGTTGGTGCTACTCCTCTGTACAACGAACGATATTCAATTGTTTAACAGGAGAGAATCTTATCTGAACTTTGCTTTTAGCGAGAAATAAACAGCCCTGCGTAACAGACAGAGAACAATCTCAATATACGTATGTGCATCTTACATGCATTTGGATAATAATTCCAAAGGAAATCATACTCGAAATCTTTCTTTCGTTCTTTCGTCAACTATTTTTCGATCTTTTATTTATATAGTATTAGATAGACGTACGATATTGCTATACCATTTTATTATTGTAACCGAAATCAAACACAAACTGTACTAAAAAAGTATACAAATATCATACAAGTATAGAAATATGTACATACATACATACATACATACATACACATACTACAAAGATATACATACAACGTCGTACAACTAAAAATAATAGCAGAAAGTAAATCAATCTAACGAATTTCATAAGATTTTATCTATTATTATTGCAACTACATTACCGTCACTGTTACTATTATTGCTGCTATTATAATTACAATTACGATTATAACAACAACAATTACTACTGCTATTGCTGCTGTTACTGTTGCTATCACTACTATTACTTCTACTACTACTACTGCTTCTACCACTGTTACTTCTACTACTACTACTACTACTACTACTACTTCTTCTACCACTACAACTACTACTATTGCTGCTACTACTACTACTACTACTACTACTACTACTACTACTACTACTACTACTACTACTACTACTTCTACTGCTACTACCTGTATTAACTACTAACTGCTACTGCTATTGCCGCAATTGCTACTGCTACTACTTCTGCAATTACAGCTCTTGTTGCTGCTGCTACTGGTCCTCCTGCTGCTGTTACTGCTGTTGTTGCTGCTACTACTAGAACAAATATATACTATGCTACAAATATATACTATTATTTAAACTTATAATTTTTTAAAAATGATTGAATAAATATCAACAATTGATTTTTACTCGATTAGCATCAATGTAACTATTTTCGTGTTTTTTCTGCGTGGACGGCAATGCGATATAACGTAATAAACTCTGTATATAATGTAATATTGATGCGATCAATATTGTCGTCATCGTCATCATCATCATCATCATTATCATCATCATCACCATCATTACCACCACTATCACCACTATCATCGTCATCGTCATCATCCTCATCACCATTATCATCATTAATATTAATATTATTATTATTATTACTACTATTGTTATTATTATTGTTATCATCATCATCATCATCATATTATTATTGTTATCGTCGTTCTACATTCAGCGCTGTCATCATTATCTTCAATATAATTATGATCAATATATCATTATATTTTTATTAATATTTTTGTTATGATTATTATGTTTACTATTTAGTTAATTTTGTTGTAACTATTGCAACTAATTTGTTTTTATTATTTTAAATCGTTATAAATTATGATATATCATTGTCAGTATCATCATCATATTACTGTTTACTTTATTATTATTACTGTTGCTGTAACTACTGTTACTATTAGTGTTATTATAATATATTTATCTTCATTGTATTCATTGTTGACGATACATTATTGTTATGGTCAACGAACAAAAGGCATAATATCTACTTAAAATGTCTACAGAAAAAAAGAGAGTAAATTTTAGTGATCAAGTATATATGGACATATATATATGGATTTCAATAAAACGTATAATTATTGTGTGTACATATGTATGTTACGTGTGTATGTATGTACACACGTTTGTGTATGTGTCTTTATATATATATATAATTGTACTTATAGAGTATATATACATTCGTATACATGCATATGTGTATACATATGTACATATACGTATCGCATTGAAGAAGACGGTTTTCCACATTTTTGTTATTCACATGTTTTAATCATTTTTTGCACTCGAGTATTCTTTTCGTTATAGGAAATTTTATTTTTAATGTTACTTAAACTACAACTGGTGATTAGGATATTCGAGGCTAAAAATGTAAGGAATGTGAACTTGTAGATTTGTTGGATTTTGGACTTCTAAGTTTGCACAAATCGCGAAATGTTCATTATTAACATAACAAATGACAACAAGAACAGTGCGCGCAATGATATTGTATTGATCTCTAAAATAACTTAAAATGTATGCATCATTAAAAGGAATACGATTTGCAAACAATAAAACAAATATTTACGTGGAATACCGTCGAAACACTTATACATGTATAAATATTACGAAAATTAATAATATTTGACGTATAACACAATGTTAGTGAATATTAATATAAGTTAACACAATATCGAGTGATTACTACTTGTAAATTAGAAAACAGAAAGTATATCTATATCTACATCTATATAGATATATGCAGAATATTTATCTTGCTAGTTGACTCAAAAGGAAAATCGCCGCAGTTATAACGCAGCGCCGTGCCGGTATATGTAATCTGTCGTATTCAATAATACCAATATCCACAATATGTTAGCGCAGAGGCGGTTATATGTTGTATATATGTAAAATGAAAACGAAAGTAAGTGATCCGCGATATGATTGACGGCATTTTAAGTCAACTAACAGAAAAATCATATATGCATACGTGCATATACGTATATATATGCATACATACATACGTACGTACGTACATACAAATACACACACACACGCGCGCGCGCGCGCGCGCGTATATGCATGCATACATGACACATACAAATATACACATAATCATACGTACCTAAGTATACACAAGCACACATAGATACACATACATACATACATACATACATACATATATATATATATATATATATATATATATATGTTGCATGCATTCATACACACATATATACATACGTACATGCATATATGTGTACACGTGTGTATACGTATATGTGTATATGCGTGTATATATGGTGTATACGTACACACGTGTCTGTGTATATGTATACATACATGTATGTGTATGTATATGTATGTGCGTGCGTGAACGTATGTGCGTTCATAGGTGGGTGTGGTAGTGTGTGTGTGTGTGTGTGTGTGTGTATAAAATATACGTATACAGGATGGTTGTTCATAAATTTAAGAATATCTATATCAAACGAAGTGAATCATATATAAACACTTAATAGTTATATCTATACATTTTATCAAGCATCCTATTATACTCTTCATTTCTTTTTTTTTCTTTTTCTTGAAAAAAGAAAAACGTTACCGTGAAGCACACTAATAACGACAGAGGTAAAATAAAACATTTGGAAATTAGGACGAATCTCTAAATCTTTGAACAGTATTTGGAATCATCCTATATATATATGTACGTGTACACATATTATTTATATGAATGGCACGCATATATGAATACATGACCGAAATATATTTTCTTTCAAATACTTTAAAAATAGTATGATTAGTGAATCGATTGTGTCGAACAAAATTATTACTAGAATTACTATGCTACTTGTTGAATCAAACAATACAACGTAATATACGTAATATGTACGTAATAATTTTATTTCACTTCATTTTATTTTATTTTATTTCACGCTAATTTTATAAATAATAATGTCGTTTAATTTTTTGTGTTTTAAAATGTGAATTTGCAACAAATTAACTAATGGTAACGCTTCCCGAACAAATTATTCTTTATATTCTTGCAATTCTTTTCTTCGCTAAAATGCCATCATATTCATTAGCGGTTCTCACGTTCGACACTATTGATTTGAATATAAATTTTTGTAAAAAAATTTCAAATTTTCAGTTATCCGATATATTTGACCCAACGAACTGAGCATATAGAAAAAACGGAACAATCATGTACTGAGATATACTTTGCGCGACATTCATTTAAAAGAGAATGAGAAAAGAGCACATAAGAAATTTAAATTTGATGAAGCTGGTTGTCCTATTTGATCGATAATTATTTAATTATTAAATAATTTTCACCTGTTGCATACAATATGTTTATCGTGCAGCAATCATTTGCAATGAAAAAAAAAAAAAAAATGGAATGAAATGGATTGGAATGAAATTGAATTTCGTTTTGAATCCTTTTCGCACGCATTTATATTTGCGAATTTATTTTTATTTCTATAAAAATCAAGAATCGCGTCATCTGTTAATTTCGTAAAGTTACGTTATAAATAATAGGTCACCACGCTGTTGATAATCTTCAATAAAAAGTGTATCAGTGTGTGTGTGTGTGCATGTGATGGTAATGCATCTTGTTTGTTTTATCATTTCATATCGCATTTCGTGGATACTAAAGTCAAAACATTTGTTAAAATCTAATTTATAAATTTATTTAAACATCTTTCTATATTCGTTGCTCAAAATTAAAACGATTTTGTAAACAAATGAAAATTTTAAAATTTGATTACGAATTTGAATCAAAAACTATTCTCAAGTTTATTCTCTAAGATATGATTTTCCTCGAGTCAAAACACCAACAATCAAAATGAACTATTACCGATTAAAATGTATAAAAATCGATTGAAAGAATCCTGAGAAGAGGGGGCAGTATAAATACTATATACAACTACTATTATTAACAGTTACTAAAATTTGAAAATTTGTATCAAACATTTACGAAAAATCATGATTGAAATTTGTCTTTTATGCTTCATTTTCGACGCTTCAGGTTTGCGTATGTACATTTGAGACATGTAAGAATAACAATTCACAAGAGCAATAAAAGAATGAACCGTGTATCATTCAGTACTATAATAAAAAAGTAAACAAAATGAAATTAAATACAACAAATTATAGGAAACGGAAAACGAAGGAAAAAAATCGGTAAACACAGAATAAAATAAGAATACAGACTGAAATTACAAAAGAACGATAGATTTATTTTTTACACCTACTTATAGAAACTTATCTAAAAGTTTGATCGTAGCTGTGCGATAAAATTCTTTATACTTCCTATATTATTATTATAGTATGAAACCACGTGCTCTTTTTTTTTCTCATTCAATGTCTATACATACGTACATACATCGCAACATATGCACACACTTACATAATAATCGCATAGTCGCACACGTGCGCATATACACACAATACGTATATACATAATAAGTTATTGATTAATATTTCTTGACAGAAAAAGAATAACAAGATATCTTATTGATTATTATAGATATAATGCGTGCGAACTTAAAGATCTGCAAATTTTCCGTTACGCAAGTTGTTGCATTATTTACTATTGCTGCTGCTACTATTACTACTACTACTACTACTACTACTGCTACTACTACTACTACTACAACTACTACTACTACGACTACGACTACGACTATGACTACTACTACTACTACTACTACTACTACTATTACTACTACTACTACTGCTACTACTGCTTCTACTGCTACTACTACTACTATTACTACTATTGCTACTATTACTACTACTACTACTACTACTACTATTACTGCTTCTACTACCTCCACTACCACTACTATTACTGCTTCTACTACCTCTACTACCACTACTATTACTGCTTCTACTACCTCTACTACTTCTATTATTACTATTGCTACTATTACTTTTACTGACTACTGCTACTATTATTGCTATTACTACTACTACCACTACTACTACTACTACTACTACTACTACTAATACTACTAGTGCTATTACTACTACTACTGCTACTAATACTACTAGTGCTATTACTACTACTACTGCTACTAATACTACTACTACCACTACTACTATTACTACTACTACTGCTGCTACTACTACCGCACCTGCTGTTACTGTTACTTCCATTACTGCTACTTCTTTCCTTACTACTATTGTTGCTACTTTCCTTACTACTACTACTATTACTACTACTACTACTGTTACTACTACTACTACTACTATTACTACTACTACTACTGCTACTACCACTACTACTATTACTACTACTACTACTACTACTACTACTACTACTACTACTACTACTACTACTACTACTACTACTACTACTAAACAACATAACAAAATATGTAACAACACACAAATTTTATTGTATAAAATTTATCAAGATGCGTCTCCGAACAAAAATTGGTATTTCCCTTTTTCTAATCTACATGACGTACCATTTGTCCTTCACAATATGATTTCTTCGTCCTGTTATAGCTCATTTGTCATCAGTGTAAGATATTTTAAGAATTAAAATATGTTAAAGTACTTGATTAGTTCAATGTTGGATTTTACTTTCTCAAAATATCATATCGATTTATCGAATCATTTTTATGATATCCTTTATTAATGAAATATGAGAGTTTGGAAAATTTGAAACATTCAGTATTATATTTAAATCATTATATTTCGCTTACATTCATATTTATACGACAATCAATGGTAACCTTAGATTAACTAGTTTTTTGTTTCAACAGAGAGAAAATTGAAATTTATTGTAATCTTGTTAAATAAGAAATATCGATAAAAAAAAAGTATCGTTAATGTTGCTAATAATAAGAATAAATTGAAAAATAGGAGAGCGATGAAACGGGAAAATAATCAGGTTTAATGTATCTTGTAAAAACTTGGGCTTATGAGAATTTTGTGCGCAATAATAGATTCTAAAAATGTTAAGAGAATGACAAAATTTCTAAAGATTTAATAAACATATAATGCAAACGGCGAGAAAGATGGTAAATGGTGGGAACACTTATAGCTCGGAGACGTATCTTGGTATGTAGTTGGCCTAGTAACAAGTTTCATATTTTTCGCCTCACTCGCAGTAAATCGTCAAATAGTTATCATTTATTATATAATATTATTGATATTATCCACAAATTTTATTGAAATAAACTTTATCGATACCGTTGAATATAATGTACTTAAATTATGACGATGACAATTTAAATATTATTACGGGCATCGAGAATACAGAACGGAAAGAAAATAACAAAAAATAATAAAAAAAAGGAAAGGAAAAAATGAAAAGGAAGTAAATATATGAATAAAAGAAAAATAGAGACGGGAAACGTGGATGCATAGTGCATGTATGATCGTATATGGAGAAATGAGAGAAGGGTGTTAGATAAAATGAGAGGAAAAGAAAACAGAAATAAATAAGCAACACCTTTTGAGTTATGAATCCGAACATTTTAAATAATCGATGAAATTAATATTGTATAATTACATAAGCGAAAGTATAAGAGATATAAACATGAATATGAATAGAAATACAGATGTGAATGTGAATAGAAATATAAATATGAATATGAATATGAATATGAATATGAACATGAATATGAACATGAATATGAACATGAACATGAACATGAACATGAACATGAACATGAATATGAATATGAATATGAATATGGATATGAATACGGATATGAATACGGATATGAATACGAGTACGAGTACGAGTACGAATACGAATACGAATACGAATACGAACATGAACATGAACATGAATATGAATATGAATATGAATATGAATATGAATATGAATATGAATATAAATATAAACACGAACACGAATATAAATATGAATATAAATATGAATATGAATATGAATACAAATATAAAATATATTATTATAAAAATATATTATTATAAATTGGAACAGGGTGGGCTGATCGTGTTAAAATAAAACAAATATAGAATACAACAATAATTTAACGAGTTTTTCTACTTATATTATTTTCCTCTCAATAACATATATGCACTCCTATGTGAAACAGAAATTAAAAATCTTACACGTATAAATATGCAAATGCGAACAATTGTTTTGTGTAATTAGTAATAATGAACATTATATGATTATAATAATTCATGTATTTATTGTTACTGTTCCTCGGTTATTTTGAAATGTTCGAAAATGATCCATTTGTACGATCATTAAATCATTAAAATATGATTATTCAGTATCAAGGTTGCTAATCCTTTCTATATACCATTCTATATACCTTCCTCTATACCATTCATCATTTTCAAACTATACTCTTTTACTCTTTTTTTATACTCCTTTTTTTAAAATTCTGATTGCATTGATAATGATCATTGCTTATGATTTTTAACATAACAGTGTAAAATAACACTGATGATTCGATGTAGAGACTCGGTGACTCGATAATTTCACGTATACATATATATAATACTATAATAATACAATTTTATCATTTATCAAAATGAAATATCGATAAAACACAGGTGTGCATAGCTTAGATAAACTAATAATCTGATCATCAGTCATTTGTCAAATCATAAACCCTTTTCTGATAAATTTATCGTTTCCATTACTATTTACAAAGCTCTTGAGTCAATTATAATGGTTCATTTTCCTCGAAAAATCGTTGTATTCACCACAGTCGTACGACCACAGTCAACCACACGATAAGATTTTTAATAATCAATTTCACTTCAGAACAAAAAGTCAGTATTAATTTGGAATACTCCAGGTTGATTCCTTCAATCAGTAACAGAACGAATGGTTCATAGGTATAATCATTCGTTAAATAATGAAGTCTTGTCGAGTGTATAATATATATAATGTAATGTAGCGTATAGTGTATAATATATTCAAAGTGTATAGTAACTAAACATAAATAGGAAAAAAAAAAGAAGAAAATTAAGAAGCATCAAGGAAGAAAGAAATTAAACTGTGTCAAATTTTCATCGAACGAAATCTGAAAATTGTGTTTGAGTTTCGAAATTATTTGCAATATGATCCGGAGCAGAATATTTATTTCATTATTATTGTATTGTATGTTACAATTAACGCAATGCACGGAAAAATACCATTGTGTGTGGTACGGTGATTGTGGCCTATCGGATAAAGGTTTGCACCGTACGTGCGTATCAAATGATCCTCCGAAGCCAATCAATAACACAATAGCTGAAAAACATCTTCGTGAAAAATGTCCACAGTATTTCCAAAACATAGGTATAGTTTCATTTTTGTTACAACTTTAATTTGTCCTTTATTTTACGTGCAAACGTTTCAGATTCAAATGTTTCACCGGAATTATGTTGCGATCCTGATAATATTGAAACATTGGTTACGCAACTATCCATGGCCGAAAGTATTTTTGGCCGATGTCCCACATGTATAAAAAATGCATATAAATTATTGTGCGATTTAAGCTGCAGTCCTGAACAAAGTAAATTTCTAAATGTTACAAAAACAAATGAAAATTCAGAAGGCAAAAAATACGTTACAGAGATAGAAGTAAGTGAATCAGTCGCATTTTATTTCATTTTATTTATTAAATAATATAATTTAATATAATTTTATTATTTCATTAAATAATATAATAAATCTCAAAAAATTCCTTCCATTTACATTTTAATAAAGACATTACATCATATATTATATCTATTATATTCATGTCCAATTCTTTTAGATTTCGGTTGCAGAAGAATACATGAATGAAACATATAATTCTTGTAAGAATGTCGTTTATCCAGCATCTGGAAATTTAGCTATGGATTTGGCTTGTGGAGTTCATGGTGCTAGTAGATGCACTCCAAAATTGTAAGCGATTGTAAAATGTAAACCAGCTTATCGTAGCTCCGTACGAAACAATAATTGAATATTTACGTATACAAGAATTTAAAAGAATATATAATTATAGATGGTACGAGTATCAAGGTGATCCGGATATGAATGATTTTATAAGTTTTCGAATGATTTTTAACACGGATAGACCGCGTTGGAACGAATCTACAAAAACATGTGACGAAATGTATGATGTAAGTCTAATCCAAAGATAAATATTTATACTTACGTATAGTATGTCTCCATTTTAATGAGTATGTCTCACCCAAGTATATTACTACCTTGATTTATGTTATTATTATTATTATTATTTGCAGTGAGAAATGTTTAAATGGAAATTAAACGCGTTAAGGACTTATGAGGGTCAACTTTAATTTTTCAAACGGAATCCTATATTTCTTTATGCATTAATCAGTGCAGCTTTTTATTCTCTTAAAAAAAAGAAATATAAACCTACATATTATACCTATGTTCGGAAAACTATTAGTTTAGGAAATATTTTAACTTCGATTAACTCTCTTTGTAAGATTTATCGAGGAAAGACAGAATATCCTTATGTTCACACTGTCCTTACCTTTCATGCATAAATTTTATAAAAATGGAAGTATCTCCTAATTACTCATAAAATATTTCCTAAACTACTCATTTTTCGACATACACGAGTTCATACTTTTTCTATAGAGCGTAAAACGTTGCTTCGATTGTTGCATAAGAAAATATAGGAATTTATTCAAAAAATCAGAGTTTGATTCTTCATGAATTCTTGACTCGTCCAATAAACAAAGGAACTAACGACATCAGTATGTACACTCTTTGAAATCATTTAAACATTCCTCACCACGAATAACAATAAACGAATAACAACATAAATAATATGGTGAGATATTTTTATTTTGTGATTATAAACTAAGTATTATAACTACAAAAAATTATTTGGATCGCTTGTTTCTTTTAATAGGGTTTAACAGCGTGTAGTTGCGTTGATTGCCCATCATCCTGTCCTCTTGTCAAATTAAATGAAGACAATGACGATTTCATTCTTTTTGGACGCAATGGCTATGCAGTCGTAACAGCAATTGTTGTTGTTTTAATTACCTTGGCAATTACATGTACATGTGTTGCATATAATTTAAAGAGAAGATCCCGCTCAGGTATTTATAATTGTTAATATTATATTTATATATACATGTATTTATTTAATATACATACAGTGAAGAGCACAATTGAACACATGATGATAAAGAATTATCAATACTTCAAATTGTTACAAAAGAAAATCATACAACGATCTACTTAGTATCACATTAAAGAGTAAACCTTTTACTTTGATTGTCCTACGTTCGTTCCTTTCGAAAATGTTCATCAATCATGTAACGGATGAATTATATAGTAAAAGTAAGAGTACTTTTTTTTTTATATGGGGGTTTAGCGTCGCATCGACTACGAGGTCTTTAGCGACGTGTGTACTTTTGTTCTCGAAAATTGTAAAGATTCAAACATCTTTGAAAAAGTTGAAAATTTTTTCATGACTTGATTCTCCATAATGTTGAAAATTAAAATTTTTTCTTTACTTTTTAAACCTTGCTGTACGATTTGTTGTTGTTTTATTGAATTTAGAACATTAAAGTAACGAAATTTTTCAAATTTTTCTCGTTTAATCGTAATGTTCGAATAAATGATAACAAAAAATCGTGCAGCAAATTTCAAAAGATTGTTGTAGAGTCAATCTTCAAGTTTATAATAGACTTAATCATAAATAAAATTTTTTAGTGTTTTTATATTTTTATACGTATGGATTTGTACAATTAAAAAAAAAACACATTTTCATTTGCTACATGATGTTAAAATGTCTTGGGAAAAACGAATTCAGAATAGAAGCTTTAAAATACGACGAGTATATTATTATTATGATTTTTTTGTTTTTACGGAGTTGTAACAGTTTGAAGTATCGACAATATTTCATTTAAATTAATTGCTGTGCAAAACTGACTCTATGAAAACAGTTTGTATCTATGAGAATGATAATGGTAATGTGGTAATAAAATTTTTTTGAGAAAGCTAAAACATCCTACAAAACACCACATATTTTGCTTGTTCTCCATATAAATATTCAGTGAAATATTATTTATGTTAAAATTCTGTATGTTCAATTTTGCTTTATTATTGTATATAGATATCCAATAGCAGAAGCTTCCAGTTTTGAAAAAGTTTAATATGAGATGTTTAAAAGACATTATTACTATCAACTATATTACTGCTAGATAACTTTACTATCTTAAATCTTCTATTTTTTAAAATCTTAAAAATTTTACATTTATCTTTATTTTAATTTAAAACATCTTACATTGTCTTATTGATAATCGTTTTGTAAACATTTATTTACAACTAAGGAGAGGTCACAGCTGTTGGGTCGTCGATTTAAATAAAATTTGGTCTGTCGATTCTGAAGCAAAAATAATTGGCTATGTTTGAGCATTTCCGTCAATACTCATTTTTTACAGAAATATTTAATATTTTAATCTTCTATCGCAGGTATATATATATTTCTTTTCTTAAATTTGTAGATGATGTAGCGAAGCTACAGTGTAATGGATTGATACCTGAAAGTTTTAGAGTTTGAATCTTCTTCCCACCGAAGAACTTTTTTGTATTTTCTCTATTTTTCTTTTAGTTTTCTTTTTTTTTACGTAGAATACTGTGTTTTACATTTTTATAATGTCCGTAATTATATCGCCATAAATTTATTACAATTTTATAATGTCCCATAATAATGCCAAAAGAAAAAATGCCATAGAAATTTCACAAAACAATAATGAACTCTCACGTAGGGAAGACACTATCAAAATTCATTCATTCATTGATACTCAGTTATCTGCACTAGTTTTCAATGCAATGGTTAAATATTTCTGGTACGCAACAAAATTAATATCTCATAGATCCATATTTTTCAATGTGAACCAAAGTTTGCTTTCCAAACGATGTAAGAAACGCAGTGTTTCTGTAATAATATGGCATTTATAAAAAAATGCCCTTCATGCTGCTAGGTATAGTTACTTATGCTTTTCATGTTTTTATGACGCTTATCATCCTAGACATTGTAATATTTGAAGGGGTTGAAAGTAACTATATGGTATCTAGATTTATGTACAATTATGTACAATTGGTACAAGGATGGAAGAAAGATGTAGGATTTGGGTAAGGTGAGGAAAAAGATTGTGATGCGTTTCGTCTCAGAGTTGCTGCCCTAGACTCCTCATTCAGTGGGGCTGATGTCAGCGACCCCTTATCTCAGACGCTGTTGTTATAACTCTACTCGTTAGGCTGGGCGGTCGATCACCCATCTTGCGGTGTTCCGCACTCTGTTTGCTTAATAACATCGAAGATCGCTAGACTTGGACGCTAGGCGCACAACCACTTGCAGGTTGTACGAGTCGATGTTCGAAACTCATACTCGAGGGACTATAGGCTACATATTCTTTCGTAAAATATTAGTTATTAAAAACTGTAATGTTCGACGTTGTATTTTATATTGAAATTTTTTGTGATATTTTAAATAAATTAATAATTAGGGATACTATAAAAATGTAAAACACAGTACTCTACATAAAAAAACAAGAAAACCAAAAGAAAAAAAAAAGAAAACAAAAGTAGAGATAATACAAAAATATTCTTTCATGGGAAGATTCAAAACCCTGAAACCTCTGGGTATGAATCCACTACACTATCAGATTCGCTACTGTATTACTACTTGCAAACTTAAGAAAAGAAGTATATCAGTGGTGGAAGATTAAAACATTAAATATCTCTGTAAATAATGAGTATTGACGGAAATGCTTGGACCTAGACAAATTATATTTGCTTTAGAATCGACAGACCAAATTTTATTTAAATCGACGACCTAACAGCTGTGACCTCTCCTGTAAGATACAATCAGTAAGACATAGTAATGTCTTGCATGCTGAATAAAATTGAGAAAATTATTTATAAAATGGCTATGTTTTTCATACTTTTTACACTTGGACAATTCTATAATTGGGCAATTTTTACGATTCTCAAACCAGCTGGTAAATATCGCAAACTAGATTCTGATTGGACATTATACAAATATAAAATTTATAAAACTCTTTTCAATTTTTAGATTTTAATTTCTACAATATTGCAATAACTTGAAAATTGTAAGGTATAAATATATAAAATCATTACAATATACATAGATATTGATATTTACGTATATAGGATGTTCCGCTTAAATCAAATAACTAAATAACTATTATTTCTATTACTATTAAATATATTAATATATATTATAAATATATTAATTGTACCTGACAAAACAAAGTGATTTACATTCTTCTAATTTAAACTTTCAAAATCACTTGAAGATATTTATATGGTCAAAACAGATTTAATGTCAACGCTATAAGATGTTAATATACTAAAAATTTCAATAACTTTGAAAATATTATTAGATGCTTGCCGTAACAGTTAATCCATCTTAATTATTTTTTCTTATCTCAACTACTATTAATAGTAGCAAAAATAATTATGATGTTTAAGTTAAGCAAAATACTCCATATCTATTAGTAGTATAAGAATATTAAGTTATTATAGATAGAATATTTGACAATAAAGACAAGGAAAAGAGGATTTATTGTAAAAAATATCACGAGATATTTCACGTGGCTTTCACTGCCTGGGGCAAAGGTTCGTTTTTCTAATTATTTCATATTATATTTACTATATAAATATATATAAATATATAAATACAATATGTCAGTATATTAATCAAATTCTATATTAATTATGAATATTGATCACATAATAAATTTAATTCCGTATTATTATTAATGATAAATCATGATTAATATAGAATAATTTGATTAATATACAAATATAGATACATTATATAGAGGGTACCAAAATTATGTCACGATCAGCATAACATGAGTCTACATCTTTGAACCAGTTAGGATATGCCAAAGAAAATTGTTGTAAAATTGATCTTGATCTTGAAATTAAAGATCAAATTTTTTTTACGTACTTGTTGTATATTATTGTGTGTTGTATTGTTGTATTGTTGTTGTATATTGTATGTATATATATTGTTTTTTTTTATGTATATTACATATTGTTTTTCTTTTTGTATATTCTATTCATTATGAAAATCAAATTTGTTACAGAAATCATCGGTCGTAAATAATCCATTCTCTTGAAAAATGTTCTTAAAACTTCATTAGTTTTTGCGTGGTATTTGTTACATATTTATATTTCATAATTGGATATAAAATAAATAGCGCGATGGAAGAGTCAATAGTTCTTTGACAACTGAAACATCTAACATAAAATATTCTAAATACGATACAGCACTCAATAATTTAATGATCTTAAAATATTCAAAAATTGCTTACTGTATGAAAAAATCAAATGATTAATATTACGCTATGGTGCTCGTGATATATAATTTTGATATACTTACATACATCTTACGAATTCATCTCTTGTACGCAATAAATAATTATTCTATCGATGTATTGTATTTCGTATTTATATATATATGTGTTATATATGTATATAATATATAACAGTACGCATACGTTTAACAGCATTCGCAAAGCATCCAGTCATCGTATTATTCACCTTTTTATATGTGATATCGGGATTAAGTTACGGAATAACGTACCTTTCTGTCACAAGTAATCCGACTGAAATTTGGGCAGCACCTACTAGTAGAGCTAGACTTGAAAAAGATTACTTCGATTCTCATTTTCAACCGTTCTACAGAACCGAGCAGATTTACATCAAACCCATAGGCATCGATAAGGTAAAACTGTTCGACTCTTTCTTTTCTCTATCATATGTCCATCCATTTTTACTAAATTTAAATGAACACAGTAGACATATAAGCATATAGAGCGTAACGTGTGTTTCAAATTATATTTAGGTATTCCACAACACAACCAATGGTCATTTTGAATTCGGTCCTGTATTTAACAAAGAATTTTTACTCGCCGTGTACGATCTCCAAAATAATATACTACAAGTAAATATATAATCAAAGTACAAAAAGTTAGTCGGTAGAAGAAAAAGGTTAATTTTAAAATTTTCAGCTTGGACAAGAAGATAGAGAAGGTTTAGAACATATCTGCTATGCTCCTGTTCAAAATGATTTTACCGGGCCAATCACTTTGGACCTTTGCACAGTACAAAGCGTATGGGGATATTTTCAAAATGATCTCGACACTTTTAATAAAACACATTTAGTAGATTCGTACGAGATAAATTATTTGGATCATTTATACAAGTGTGCGCAGTAAGTAGTTATATATTATTTACGCATATTCTATCTGTGAGATGGATTATTTATATACTGTTATTTTATGATTGTATACCGTTATTTTTATTATCGATTTCTCTTGCCGATGTCTTTTCTGAAGAAATGCGTATAATCCCGAATGTCTGGCACCGTACAAAGGACCAGTTTTACCCGCATTAGCTTATGGTGGATTTCTTCGTGAAGGTGAATTCAATTACGACGCGGAAGATTATATCAAATCGACCGGATTAATTTTATCGTTCCTCGTGAAAAACTCGCTGAACGAAACTGTGCTTCAATCAGTTCGCAAATGGGAGCAACGGTAAATTAACATATAATATATAATATAAAATATTTTATATTAATATATAATATAAAATTGACTCGCAAAGTTAACGAAATTGACATTGTCCTGCCGAAATTTCAAATTTTTCGATTCAATTTCTTAGATTTCTTGACTTTATGAAAAAATGGAATGACAATGAGAGACCGGAATATATGGATGTTGCATATACTACGGAGAAATCGATTGAAGATGAATTAGAGCGATCGTCGAAATCAGAGGCAATAACAGTAATCATCAGTTACGTGCTGATGTTCTTTTACGTAGCTTTCGCTTTAAACGAAATGAAATGTTCCATCAAAAAATATTTTGTAAGTTTTTCTTTTTTATATATTTTACACATATTTTATATATTTTTATATATTTTACATATAGTATGCATATAGATACCACATTTTCCATTCACTTTCTCGTTCATTCCTTTTGTTTTCATTTGCTCTTCATTTACAAACGTATATTTATTAACCGTTAAGTTACAATTTACATTAGTAAATTAATATTTGATTTTCATATTAGTAGCAATTTCTTTTGTTAATTTCAATATTCCCTACCACTATCAATCAAATAATTGTTCTTGTAGGCAAACAGCAAAATAATATTAAGTATCGGTGGAATTATTATCGTAATAGCATCAGTAGCGTGTTCCCTTGGTATATTTGGCTATGTCGGAGTACCTACAACACTACTCACGATCGAGGTAAATGGATATAAAAGAAATCATAAATAACAGATTAATCGCCTATAAATTTCACGCACAATACATAAACGTGTATATAAACAGGTAATTCCATTTCTGGTACTGGCCATAGGCGTAGATAATATTTTTATTTTGATTAATACGCATCAAAGAAACCCAAAACGTAGCGAGGAATCGATACCTGATCATATTGGGAGAATTTTAGCAGAAGTTGGACCGTCAATGTTTCTCACTAGTATGTCCGAGTGCTTCTGCTTTTTGATCGGTTAGTACCGACAGTTTCAACGTATATCACTTATCTTTTATTGAACATCTTAACTATCATTCTGTCCTACATACCAAACGTTTTTATTTCCAGGAACGTTATCGAAAATGCCTGCCGTAAATACTTTCGCCCTTTATGCGTCTGTATCCATCTTAATCAACTTTTTCTTGCAAATAACTGCATTTATTAGCCTTTTATCGTTAAATCAGCAACGATTCGAGGTAAATAATATCCATATACATATAGTATATACTTATATACAATTGTTACAAAACTGATTTTTATCTCTGCAATATTTTAGAACAATTTTCTAGATGTATTATGCTGCATAAAAACAAAAAAGGAAAATTTTACAACCAAGGAAACGAGTCTCGTACATACGATTTTCAAACGTTTTTACACACCTTATCTTATGAAAACACCAATCAGAATAATTGTATTAATCGCATTCTTCGTTATGCTAGTTATGCACATCGTAATATTACCAGATATTACTATTGGATTGGATCAAAAGCTTTCGATGCCTATAGATTCTTATGTTTTGAAATATTTTGAGGTAACATCTTTATTGTATTTTTATATAAGGTTGTATGATAATATCGTTTTTATATTAAAATATACTATATATCGATACAATTGCAATTTAGTAATAATAATAATAACGATGATAAAAATGATGTTAGTGATCTTATTCGTCGCAACGCGATCATTAATTTTTTTAGTTTATGGAGGACCTTTTATCAATGGGTCCACCTGTTTATTTTGTGGTAACTCCTGGACTCGATTATAGTAATAAAACAATACAAAATGTAATTTGTGGTAGTCAGGGATGTAACAGTGATTCTCTGTACACACAAATTTATTCAGCAGCTAAACAACCGGCTATGTTCGTATAGTATTAAAATTTTATCAAAACTAATTTTACCAAAAACATTAATAATAAGGCTATTATTAATTAATTATTCAAATGTAGATCGTATTTATCGAAAGCAGCTTCATCTTGGATGGACGATTACATAGATTGGTCAAAGATATCCGGCTGCTGTAAATATTTTCAAGCTAATCAATCATTTTGCCCACATACGAACTGTAATTATCACTAATTTTCACATTTTTACTAACCAATTACTACTTTTAGTTACTCAATCCACATTTCTGTTATAGTTATGTGTCCTTCTTGTGACATTCATATTGATGAGGATCATCGACCAGAAACAAACAGTTTCCGAAAATATATATCGTACTTTCTACAAGATATTCCGGATCCAACCTGCGCGAAATCTGGTCGAGCTGCATATCTTGATGTAAAAAATTATTTCTGTATTTCTTCCATATTTTTTCCCTTTGATTTTTTTTTTTCGTATTCTTCTAAACGTTTACTTACCAAACATCGCCAAAGACAAGCTTTCAACATTCTGACATTGTTATCTGCATATTTACAGGCATTAAATTATTACACAGACGAACATGAATTAACGGATGTCAAGGACAGTTATTTTATGGGATATCATACCCCGTTAAAAAAATTATCTGATTGGTACGAATCTTTAAAATCTGCCAGAATTATCGCAGATAATATTACAACTATGATAAATAATAAAAGTCTAACTGACGAGAAGATAACTGTATTTCCGTATAGGTATTTCATCTTTTTTATTATCTTCAATTCAAACGCACAACGTTCTCACAATCACAATTAGATTTCATGTATGTATTCTTAAATAAGTATCACACTCATACCATTATGCCATTTTTATCATCACAGTGCTGTATTATATTCTGTATATCTATATGTATGTAAATATATTTACTTTATAATATTTATACAAAAGATGTAACATATTATTTCTTACAGCATATTTTATGTTTATTACGAGCAGTATCTTACAATCTGGAAGGAAACATTATTCTCATTGGGTTTGTCCCTTTGTGTGATCTTCTTAGTGACCCTGATCTTAACAGGATTATCGTTATTTTCGGCAATAATAGTAGCATTGACAGTATGGATGATTATCGTAAATATAGGTGGCCTCATGTATTGGTGGAATATTGAATTAAACGCAGTCTCTCTCGTCAATTTAGTAGTGGTATGGTAACAAAACAGCATACAATTACATACTAATAACAAATCACATATATATATATTATAACAATACTTACATATATAACATATATATATATATATTTATTTATTTATGTGAATAATATTTCATTTCATTCATATATATTTTATACATAAATATAAATATATATATACAGGGTATTTCGTAACTTGTAGGACCCACTTTGGGAGCTGATTGTACGTCTAAAAATAATGAAAAAAAGTCATATAAATATATGTCCTATCTGTTTTCGTTTATGAGATATAATAAATTTTATAAACAGAGCAAACTCTCTGTCCGGCCTCTATTTCCATAGACCGCAATAGTTCGTACGCAAGATTTCGCAAATACTTACTTGATATCTTTCGTTTTTTGTACTTGGTTCCTGCAAATGTGTGAACGTGAAGAGAGTTTCGTATCTACCATACTTTTCACTGATGAAGCTAGTTTTACCAGGGATGGTATATTCAATTTTCATAATAATCATAATTGGGATGAAGAAAATGTTATTGTGCATTCAAGACATCAACACCAGTTTAGCTTAAACGTATGGGCAGGAATAATTGATAAATTTTTAATTGGACCTTTTTTTCTTGATGGGAAAATAACAGGCACAAAGTACGTTGATTTTTTGAGCACGCGTTTACACAAAATATTAGAGGAAGTTCCAGTCGATAGATTAGACTTCGTATGCGGTTTATGCATGATGAAGCTTCGCCGCATTTTAGCCGAGTGGCTAGGCAATTTTTAAATCAACACTTTGCAAATAAATGGATTGGTCGTGGAGGTCCTATTGCAT